GAGAGAGAGAGAGAGAGGGGGGGGGGCAATAAGTTGAATAAGAACCCAATACTGTTGAAGATCCGCCCCCTGTCAAAGTTGCCCACAGCCCCTGTCAGTTCTGTCACAGGCAATGCTGAAGTTGCCCCATCCATTCGGGAGTCGAATTTGCACCAATCCCTGTCGAAGTTACCCCAAGCGAGGGTATGCCACAAAATAGTGATTGGTTGAAAATCCGGAAAGCAAATAGAGTAAAGAACATAATAATCGAGAAGTAGAATGGCTACTTGACACAACGAATACCAAGATGGTCTGTGTTTTTTCATAAAGGCGGGAGCAGTCAGTTACTTTTGCGGCACTACACAAACCTGTCTAAGTTGCCCCAACCTACCCTATCCACTTGCAGTCTCGAATAAGATCTACTCCATTTGCAGCTCAGCGTCCTTTTGAGTCCAATCTCTTGTAAGTGCTTACAATTTCTTACGTGCTTACAAACTTTAAAAGAAACGATCAGGATGGAAACGGTCTTTAATCTATAATTTTTGCCCTGCGTCGTTGAATTTTGTTTGAACTTGCTTTCGTACGTAAGCCTTCTCTTAGTCTTTTTCTTCTCCTCAGTTGCGTAGTGTACAGCATCAGTCTGGGCGGAAGAAGGGTGCTGTACAACAATCACAGACTACCGAACCGAACAATTCTCAGTTTATTCTGTTAAATCCGAGGCTGCCGTCGTGTTGCCACCATGACATGACTGACAAAGTGGAAATCCCTCAACGATAGAAAACAAGATGGCTGTTACTATAAATATCGGCCAATGGCGTTTAGTTGTTGTTCTCTAGTAGATCTAGAATCTCAATAATCTAGCCTATGGAAGCCTGAGTTAATAGTACTAGATCTAGATCTAGTACTTAATCAGGAGTAGGCCTCTAGATTTTCTAGCTAGCTAGCTGGTCTAGCCTCCGCTTGTTTTGATTCACCAGGAAGTGGTATCAGAATCTGTAGAACTGTGAAAAATCTAACACATTTAGCTTTGAAGGCAGAAAATTACTTGAGATTACTGAGACTCAATCACTGGGCCCCTAAATCAGTTCGACAAGTCTTGTTGAGCCAGACAAATCGGCACCTCTTCCTGCTTCATAATTCGCAAACCGAGACTAGAGACATCATCATTCAATTTCCTCACCGAACCCAGTGAGAACATGGACAGCAATTACCAGGGTCACATCCCTACTAAAATAAACCATCACTTCAGACACAAATCAGACATAACAAAGGGTACAATACTGTAAAACGATAGTTACACTGTAGCATTCCAGCGGCTCCCCTGCAGTGTGCCCCGCCATTTTGATTGAACGTTGATATTCACAAACTGTTGGGAATAAACCTCATGCTGCAAGTTATGATGTTATCCCCAATGATTTGGGAATAGCCTGACTTCAGGGGGGCCGCAGCTGCATTAATTTTGTTTTCTAAATTTTGTTTTTCTATTTGTGATACTGAAACTTCGAATATTTCATCAGGATTTATAACATGTATAAAACCAAAGACAACTCTACCTTAGAATAAAAATGCGACGAAAAATCAGAACCTATCCCTTAAAAAAAATGAAATTACTAGATCTATAAATAATAATTCCAACCCAAACAAACGAAATTGCGTATTTCTCTTTTTTTAATTAATAAGGGGAGATCGAGTCTCCACAAATAATTATTAATCTTCATTATCTACTATAACATTTTACATCTTATACCCCC